CCTTGCCCCCCCGGGGCGGGATCTGTGCTGCGGCGGAGAAGCCGGCGGCTGTCAGTAGGGGGCGAGACGCGAGGCTGTCGGGGAAGGTCACGCCTGGCCGAAGTGTCCAGCTCTGCATCCCTGAGATGTTTGCCTCGTGGAGGGTAGGGGTGCGGGAGGGAGGCGGCGGCCAAGTGGGGCATGCGGGTTCGTGGCAGCCAGGACCCTGGCTCGAGGCACACTGCCTGGGTGATTGTCGCACGGCCGTGGGTGACAGAAGCATCACTCCGTCTCCTCTCGTCCCCTCCCCCCTTTCAGGCCGCTGCCCTCCATCCACTTTTTTACTTTTGGGGATATTTCTCTTCATCAGTTTTACTGATGGTTTTGATTTAGTCTTGACTTTTCCACGCCGCTCCGTTGTTGTCCCGGGCTGTGGCTGCCAGTCCTGAGCTGTGTCCGTGCACTGTCGCCGCGAGTAACCTCCAACCCATCCCGGTCTGCCGCCCGCTCAGTTTCCAGTTGTCTGACTGACCTCCCCGCCTCCCAGTGTCAGCTCCCACGGGAGAGCGTTTCTGCACGTCTCACCCTGGTCCTTTGGAGGCCCTGAACTCTGTTAACGTCGTCATCTATTGTTATCTTTCTAAGTCCTCCTTTTCACTTGGAAGCCTTTCTGAACCCTGAAGCTGTCAAAATTCCATCAGGTTTCGCTCACTTCTTTGAACCCTTTCACTGCGAGTAGCAGGTTTTAGCTAGTCTTTCGGTGTACATCCACACCTCTAGGGCTCTCTTTTTAAAAGTAGGTTTGATTGCTTTCTCTGTGAGTGGTCCTCCTTTTTGTACTGTTTTAGCCTGATCGTTTTTCTTTCTTTAGTACTGCTTCTCTCGACCTGTTTTTTGTATTATTCCACTTCTTGTCACCTCGTGAAATTACTTAATTTGCATATTTTATAAAATATGGGTCCCCACGCCCCATTTAATTTTTAGTACTTTATTACATAAAATAATACGCCGTTATGCTTTATAGATAATCTATGGTATAACTTTGCTTTACAATTATTGACTAGATAATGTGACTTAATCTGTGACCTTAAAGTTCTTTTCTTTCCTCCTGCTTCCTTTTTTGTTTCCCAGTTCTGTGTAGTTTTTGTCCACCCCCCCCCCATCATCTCTACTTTGGAAATCCATCCAATAATGTACTTGTTTTATTCAGTAGCAGTTTGTCCACAATAATATTTGTTTTCTACTCTTTTATAGCAGTTTCTGTCTGTGCCCAAAATGTGTTCTGTACCATTATTTGACGTACATTTCTCATAGTTTTTATTTTTTAATAATCATTTCACTTTCCAGTGTGATTTCTGCTCAGATCAGTTCCTACTCATCTCCCTCAACTTCTTGGATTCCAAGGCTAGAGCTCTTCCTCAACTTAATTCATCTCTCTCAACTTCTTGGATTCCAAGGCTAGAGCTCTTCCCTGCATCCATTTCCTGGTTTATTCTGTTTCCCTTGTCCCCAGTTACCATTCATTCTGCCTGTTTCCTGGCTTTTGGTACTTGACTTGCTGAAGCTTCCTCTTTTCTTCCCTGCACCTCCACGTTCCTTCTTATTTATAAACAGTTTTGTTCCGTTGACAAGGAAATTTATTTTTAGGATACATTGTTTTTAATGGATAAATACTAGGGGTCACATCTGCTGTCTGTTTTCTTCAGGAATCGGATATGCCTTTGTCTTTTCAGGCACAGGTGCTTTTGGGCTTTACTCAGCAGTGCATATGTGGTTTTATTGAGTTACATGTATGTGGAAGACTAGTGTAGATAAATTAATGGGTAGGGGGTTATAAAATTTGTAATTCTGTAATTACAATATTGCTTACATTGAGTTTCAGTCCAGCCTTCTGTAGAGAAGGGCTTAGTTGAATAGTTTCTACCCTGCTATCTTGAAAGGGCCAGATTGTTTGGAGCTCTTCCCTCTGAAGATTCTCATTCATTTGGTGAGTGCCTGGGCCGTGGCTTTCTGTGTTTGGCACAATCCCTAGCCAGTTTCCACATGCCAATGTTTGGAGGATCTCCAGGCTAGCCGAAGTTAAGATTAAATTGCCAATAATTGGAAAGCATGTTCCTGTCCCCTGA